CCCCAAGACGGGTGTCTACGCATGCCAGAACACTTTCACACATGCATCGCGACCCATGCGATGTTTCGGTGGCATAGCTACACCCCGAAGGCCATCCCGAATCCCAGTTGACCAGTAGATCTAGCCCTTTGACTTTCGCCGGACGGGCTTATATAACCGGACGGGCAATCGATATATGTTTTCTGTACATTTAAGTTAATAAAATTAGTATTGGAAAAAAATAAAAAATAATAAGAGAAAATACAAAAAATATAAAAATATTATTAGAAATCTATGCCTACGGCCTAGCCGTCGGCATAGCTACGGCCACGGAACGGTAGAGCCCTGGATCGATGACGTGGCGTAGGGCGGGGATCAATGACGTGGCAAAAACCATGGGCCAGGCCTATGCCGACGGCCTAGCCGTCGGCATAGAAATGCCACCCCACGGGACCGGCGAACGACGCGGATCGATGACGTGGCGGCGCGGCGGATCGATGACGTCGGCGTAGCTATGCCGACGGCTAGGCCGTCGGCCACCGTTAGCCCGTCGGCGTAGCCTGACGCCGTCAAACTGCCGTCGCCGCCCGAGTAGACGGGCCCACGTGATATGCCGACGGCCTGCTCTATGCCGACGGCCCCCGTCGTTATATTCGGAGAAACGCCGACGGCTTATCTATGCCGACGACCCCCGTCGGCATAGATGGTTATACGCCGACGGCCTTTCTACGCCGACGGCTTTAGTTGGGCCGTCGGGGTATGCCCATATATGCTGACGGGGGCCGTCGGCATAGATATGGCCGTCGGCAACTGCCTAAATTCTGATAGTGAGCACAAAACAACCCCACGACTGCAGCCTTTACTGAGGCCGATTCCTCCAGGAACCATCACCCTTGCAGGAGACAATCAGACGGGCCCTCGTTGCCACCACAGGACGAACTGGGGAAGCCCGATCCAACCAAGCCCAAACAAAATAGGGCAGAAATAGTGTATCGGTCGAAAAAATATCTTTAATATTTATAGGAGTAACAAAATGATAGATTGTTAAGCATTATAGCTAGTAGCGATACCCAGGTGCACAACAGTAAAATGATGAATTTTTCAGACAATTATTTTGCCATTCGCAAAGTGTGACTTAAGAGCCAAGTTCAAAGTAAACATTGTTACCATGGAAGCTTCTCCAGATCCAGCAAACTATTACTCCCTCTGTTAACTATTACAAGATATTTTGGATATTTCAATATAAACTACATATGGATTGAAATGAGTGGACAAACACACTCTATACATTTGATTTAGAAAAGAGTTTTTTTTCTTTAAAGATTTAGAAAATAGTTAGAACATCCTATAATTTGCAACGGACTGTGTATTTTATCTAGGTGCATATTTATAAATCATGCATATACGAAGCCACAAAGATGGTTCGTCACCTTTAGTCAGATACATCGCGATCCCTGCTGCACATCTCTGACTTATCTAGGTGACTGATCGAGCACGTATATATTGGCCGGTTTATATATGTATCACATAGCAGCTGCGTGAGGGAGGTACTGAGTGCTACCAAATTAACAAATCAATCATCCAGGGAGAGATGTGGAGGCTAAAGATCGCGGAGGGCAGCGGCAACCCACTGCTGCGCACCACCAACGGCCACGTCGGCCGGCAGGTATGGGAGTTCGATCCTGCCGCGGATGACCCCGACGAGGTCGCCGCCGTTGATGCCGCCCGCCGCGACTTCACCAGCCGCCGGCACCAGATGAAGAACAGCTCCGACCTCCTCATGCGCATGCAGGTCTCCATTCTCTCTTTCTTAAAGCCAACACACAGTCTCTAGTACTACCTCTGTTTAAAAATATAAGACGATTTGCTAGGCCATTTTAGCCTACCAAAACGTCCTATATTTTGGGATGGAGATCGATAATACATGCCACCGTGCACTTGGTGTTCAGGTACAAACTAGCATAGCTCGATACTATATCGGATGGTTACAGAATGGTATGTTGTATCCATATCGGCCATACTATATCAACCGAATGGCCGATATCTAATTCGACATGTCCACTAGTATAGACCGATCCATGGAGGACAACAATTCTTTCTCGGAAAACAATGTAAATAACATTATGGATTTAAACTTCATCATATTACCAAAGCCAGGCATAATGTTTTGTAGAAACTCATATAAATATTGTAATTTTTTAATTCTTAACAAAACGATCTTGTGAGTTTTTCTTAAATTTTCTCTTAATTAACAAGTTAATAAACTAGGAATCTAAGCATTGATATCATATTCTCTCTTTTTTTACAAAAAGACATGTTTTGAACAAGAATAATGTAAAAAAATCAGATATTTCTTTCTTTGATGATATAACTACATATCACCCGATGTGTTGAAGCTAAACCCATCCAAACCCGATATCCGATATTTAGAACCTTGTCTCGGAGACATCAAGCACCATGCATACAAAAATAATGAAAACTATGATCTGATACATTCTCAACAATCCTGCGCATGAGAATTCTATGCATTACCACTAAAATCATAAAATTAACCTACTTTCATTTTCATACATCATGTCAACAAATATATCTGTGCATACATGTTATAATAAACTCTTTTTACAAAGGAAATTCTAAAAAATTGTCAACTGGGTTATTCTACTCCACTTTTAGATTACCTAAAAAAACTAAAGGTGAATGAATGAAAAAAGTGACTCACACTGCATACTTTTGCATAGCATGTGAACTACCTCCACGTGTTAGGGCTTCGCCGTTTACATGTGACAGCTAGCTGCCAAATTAACCGGGCAGAACTTTCTTATTCTTGAAGTCTTGAGCTCGTTTTGGGCCTGAAAGCTGGCCCAAAAGCCCAAGAGAAATGACCCTCGATGAGTTGATGTACACAATTTTTTTAGGAAAGGCCATCATGGCTTGCTTTATTATTTTTCAACACTTGCCTCAAAAAATATTAATTTTCAACACAAATTACATTGTCCACTAGTTTGTTGAGCATGCCTAAAAAACCTAGTTTGTTGAGCAAGAAACCCATAGGTTCATCGACCCAACTACTATTACATCTATCACAAAGCTGAACTTAGCTACTCATGAGCTACATAATTAGCCTCAGGAAAAACAATGCATAAACATAACATTCCGTATCAACGTTGTGGTTTCCACACACACTCCGTGAAGATTACGCTGCTACATCCCACCATTGTGTTTGCCCCATGCAAAATTCAATAACATTCATAGAATCTAATTCTCCTTCGGCCTGATTGAAAACCATGGCGTTAACTAGTGCAATTAGGGAACAACATTGTCCTGTGGGTGCTTCTATGTGCCACTCTTTGCCACAGATTATCGGGCGAATGCACATGCAGGACTCAGAGTGGGCCGGCCCATATAGTGACTGTAGTGGCTAGTGAACCAGCTACTGTAACGAGCCTGGAGCAAGCTGGCTGCTGTAGCGGACAGTTTTAATCATTCTGTTTTTTGGAAAACATGAACAAAATATTTTTTAAAGGTACTGACATTTTCTAGAAAAAATGTCAAAATTTACTGATACACGATTTTTTAAATGCCAAACATTTTTCTGAAAAACAAAATAATCATTTAAGTTCCAAACATTTTAGGAAAATATGAACAAATTATGATATTTTGACATTTTTTTCATATTGTTAACACTTTTCTGAAAGTTCCGAAAATTTTCAGAAAAAGGAAAGAAATTTTCAATTTACGAATATTTAAAATAACGTGGACAATTTTTGAATATTCGCACACATTTTTAAAACAAGAATTTTCCTTCGATTTTTATAAATTTGATAAAAAATCTGATCATTTTCGAAAAAAGCTCCAACCTTGGAATTTCAAAGAAACATATAATATTTTAAAATGTGATGGAAAAGGACACTAAATAAAAAAATCGCCGAAGGAGAAAAACAAAGAAATGCAGAGAAAAAGCAGGCTGGAACCTTATATAAGGTTTTAGAAAAACACAACAAAACCTTCTATTCCCAAATCCTTTATTCCCAAATCCGGGATTTGTAGGATATACAAATAACATAAATGGGTGTGCCATCTTCACCGTGCCTCGCTTGAAGGGTGCCTCCGAAACGCTTCTAGTAGGCTGGCCTATGTAACATCTATTATGTTCGTTTCTTTTTCTTCTCTGCTTCTACATTTGTTAGTTACTTCGTACGTTTGTTTAAAGTTTTCAAATATTCCAAATACATATTTTCCAAAATTTTAATTTACTTATTTTTGAAAGACGTTCACCGCACATCAGGAAAACGTTAATACAGCATAAAACAATTTCCTACAACTTTCTAAAAAAGTTGATAGCTTTCAAAAATAATGCTCATGACATTTTAAAAGTGTTAGCCCATTTCAGAAAAAAAATCGTGGAATTAAAAAAATTGCATAATTCAAAAACATTTTTTTGTACTACTTAAAAATGTAGGTAAGATTTAACAAAAATCACTCGTAACAAAAATATGTTCGAGAATTTTCTTTCAAAAATGCTGATACAATGTAAAAACAGTTTTCAAATGTAAAAAAACTATACCATACAGAAAAAAATGTATAACGTGTATTTAAAAATGTTTCGCACATATTAAAAAAGTTCAAACTTGTAATTGCTGAATTTGCAATACTTATTTGAAAAATAATGTACATGTATAAAAAAATCCAGATGTATACAAGAACTCCAAACTTGTATTAATAATATTCATGTATTGACAAAACCAAAAATAAAAATAAGAATGAAAAAGATAAAGAACATAAGAAGAAAGGCGGTAGAAATCCAGTAATGAAACAATGAAAATTTAAAACAAAAAATCAAGGAAAACGGACACAAGAAAACACAGAAAAATAATAATGCGGAAGCTTCAATTCCCGGTCTGAACTGATAGTAGAAGCTTCCTAAAAACCTCACTTCTGGGGATTGCCTACTGCGAGATAGAATAGGCGAGATATAGGTCCCTCAAAAACAAGCTAAAGTTTACTATTTCACGCTTAAAGCCCCGTATTCTAGTAAATCAGTACAGAGAGCATACCCTCTCTCCTTTGTTCTATGGGCCGGGCCATATTGATCCCGAATCTTGAAGCTCCCAACTGTTTTGGAAAGTTTCTAGAAGCTTCTAGTTGATTTTAATAGTTTTTAGTTTTTCCCGGGTGTTTTAGGATTTCTATTTTCAATTTTACTTTTATATTTTCGTTTATGTTTTTTTTCTTTATTTCTTGTCTGCTTTTTTTGAATTTGTGAACATTTTTCAATTTTGTAAACAAACTTTAAAATACACAAAAAAATTTAAAAACATTTTATGTTCATAAATCCTTGATTTAAAAAATTGAACTTTTTCCAATTCGTGCACCCTTTTTTAAGTTTGCAAAAATAATTTCAAATTCATTATTTTTTCCAAATTCGTGAACTGTATATGTATCTGTTAGTTCTTTTTTAAATTGTCGAACTCTTAAAATCCTTGAATACTTTTTCCAGATTCATAAACATAATTTCAAATTTGTGAACATATTTATTATTCTTGATTTTTTAAATCAAAAAGTTTTTAAAATTCATTAATTTTTAGATATTTTCTTATTTCTCAAAGTTCGTAAATTTTGTTTTCGAATTTATGATTTTATTGACATGTTTTTATCTATATAAAAAACCGGATCCTGGTTTTTTTCCTTAGAAACAAGCGAATGCAGCGAGCAAGCAGTAAACTTTAATGGGCCGCGGCCCGCAAGCATGCGCGTGAGTGCCAGCTCGCCCAAGTAGCGCGTAAGGTTGGCTCAAAAACAAAGTAGCGCGTAAGGAGCTGAAGAGGCGCTCTCTCATTCAACCTCCGCATCCCCTAAAAGAAAAACCTCCTCAAAAGGGAAAAAAAACTTGAATTAGACTATCTGCACACTTGGTCGGACTAGGCTCGCCTACCTATCTTCTCCAAGATTTTGGTTTGGAAAATTAATCAAACTAGATGATACGCCGCAAGATTTGGTCATATGAAACATTTGGATTAATAATATATATAACTGAAAATACATATTATATATTGTATTGGATTATTGTATAGTTGCAAAATATTTATTGAATATAGGTATTATACTATAATGAACTTTGATGAGGTGATATGTGTGCATGGCTTATGTGTGCATGTTGAAATAAATAGAATCCGTGGGAAACAACTAATAATGAAAAATAATTTTCATGAATGTTGTGGTGGGTCTTTGATGATGTGGCATGTGTGCATGTTAAGATAATTGGTAGTAGGGATGAACTATTTAGGTATATAGGATATCGTGAAGTTCTGTAATTTAGATTTGAGAAAATAGATGTTCACTATGTTTATTTTTGTAAGGTGTCTTTTTTAAAAAGTCAAAAAAATTTACCTTTGAACAAATATATAGAATAATCTATCTGGCTTTCCTATTGCCATTTTGCCTATATATATAACCCTCTTTTTATCCACCCAAAGGTTGACCTCCTACTGGCTTCTCAAGAGAGAGAAAATCATTTCCTAACAATTTTTTTGTCGTGTAGCTCTCTAAGTCAAACAATCTCAAGATGAACCTTCCTCCCATCAAGCTGGAACAACATGGGTATCACATAGAAGAAGACGATGTCTTGATATCTTTGAGGAGGGCAATCAACCGATGTTCCACTCTCCAGGCACATGATGGTCATTGGCCGGGGGATTACGCTGGCACTTTATTTCTCTTGCCCAGCTTGGTACTTTCTCCTCGTATCTAACAACAATTTTCTAGACCTTTTCTTATGATTTCAATATGTATGAAATAAAGTCAAAATAATCTATTTCCATCTCCATAAGTAGATGTTTGGTTTTTCATGTTTTGATTTGCATCGACCATTTCTCTCAGATTGTAGCACTGCATGTGACTGGAGCACTAACTACTGTGTTGACATCTGAACATCAGAAAGAGATTCGGCGGTATCTCTACAATCATCAGGCACGTATACATGCCTACTGACATGATTAAAAAAATGGACAAGTATTTGCTGATATTATTGTTGAAGTATAGAATGAAGACGGGGGTTGGGGACTGCATATTGAGGGAACAAGCACAATGTTCTGTACTGTCATGAACTATGTTGCTTTGAGATTGCTTGGGGAGGGGCTGGATTCATGCGGAGCCATGCTACAAGCTCGGAGTTGGATCTTGGATCATGGAGGAGCAACTTTAACACCATCGTGGGGAAAATTCTTTCTTTCGGTAGGGAACATGACCATAACTCTAGTACATGTTGATATGCATTTCCTTTTGCACTTGATCTCCGAAGGAAATGAAATATAGTTGAGAATCTTGGATTTATTGACCATATCATTGAACATATGCTAGATTTTCAACCTAAAGAGGTCCCTTGTCTGATATTTCCCTTAACTTCTTGCTTTAGGTCCTTGGGGTATATGACTGGTCCGGGAACAACCCATTGCCACCAGAACTATGGATGATGCCTTATTTCTTGCCTATTCATCCAGGTTAGGGCCTCACACTTAAATTTATTCCTTTCCGTAGTTGAATTCATCCTTCAAATTTTCTCATGTGGCTCGATCCATACTATTTTACCTAATGTTTTGACATACTAATTTTTACAAAAATTAGCTACCTAGATTGGTTCCACTTGGAAAATGTCACTATTTTATCTTTAAAACAAGTTCACAATTTCACATTTAAGGAGGACTAGTGAACATTGTTTAAATTCTTGCTAAATTAATGGAACAAGGGATCACCATTGATTTCACCGCAGAACTACTCAATCCACCATATTTGCATTGCCTACTAAGGGTATACCCGGTAACAATTGGCCTACCATTGCAAAACTAAAATTCAGATGTAAAGCTTACAGAAAATCTCTAATAATTCATAATAATAAATAAAATATTTTATATAGTATATGTCATTGTGAGATGAAAACAAAAATATGTGATCGAATATGCCACATAATTATCCGCTCAAGTAGAATACAACCTTATTTATTATGACAAATTAATGTAATCAGACTAAAATCCATACATGTGTATGGACTATAGTCTATCAAAAGTTAAAATTGTATTTTCTGCAGACATCCTACATGGGTTTCATTATGGGTTATAGTTCAACAATGAGCAAGGCTATCTTTTTACAAACAGGAGATAGAAGATAGAAAATAATGCATCGAGTACCAAATACATACTAGGCTTATTCTTGCCATTTAATAACTTTTACTAATTATTTTTGTTCCATATAAACAGGGCGCATGTGGTGTAATTGTCGGTTGGTATATTTGCCCATGTCATACCTATACGGGAAGAGGTTTGTGGGTGCTACTACATCAATTGTACTAGACTTGAGGAAAGAGCTCTACAATGTCCCGTATAATGAGATTAACTGGGACAAGGCTCGCAATGGGTGTGCCAAGGTATCGCTCTTATTCACTTGACCGTTCCTATCATTATGTCATCTACTTTTTGATTTGAGGTATTTTTTGTCGAGTCTAGACATTCGTGTTCGACCCTTTTGGTTATACAATCATGATATTTGATATAGTGTAGCATACACCACATGAAAACAACTTAAAATTAAGCTTTCACTACAATATAGCAGGCAATGCAGGTGCATAAGGCTGCACTGGTGAACAAATGAAACTACCGTACAACGTTGTACAATTCAATAGTTTTTTCTCTTAGTAAAACACAAAGCTTGTGCTTCGATGCACTGATAAAACTTTACAAGAATAAGCCATTACAACTGAAAACCTATGAGAGATAAAAATTCGCAATCACTAGACAAACATTTACAACAAACTCTAGACCAACAAACAGTGGCCTCAATGCCATAGAAGCACACTAATGACATCGCATGCCTCCCAAAATCATGTTGGAAGGCACATCTACAATGGCGGTCAGAATCAGGCCACACCTTCTTTCAAGAAGATGGCAAATTGACAACAATTATTCTATTGCCAGTTGCCAGCCTCACACCACCTTCAAAGACCTCTCACCTCACTCCCAAGAATCCCGAAAGGGCACAACAAGACATCACATCCATGCTGCAGCAACACTTGTAATGCCAACCTCCGACCGCACCTTGAAAACCATACCACCACACATCACTACACCCTTCTTTCAACACATCTTGAAACTTAACCTTATGTTTCTTGCTAATAAAATATTAAGGAAATCTTTGATTCACTGGAGTCAAAACTGTAGGAGCAGGAAAAGGACCATAATGACATGTATTCCTATACAAATTTGAGAATTAAAAGAACACGGGGATTTTAGTCTTTAAAGTGTCTATTCTTGAAATAAGAAGAACACAAGAATTCAAATAAGCATTGTAAAATCATAGTCAACCCTAGCCTCATTATACCTATGGTTAAGAGGTAGTGGCATGAAATATTAGGCTTTCTTTAACCATGATCGCATAACTTATGGCCTTTTGGAAGTCTTGCCATCTAAAATGTTAACTTTGCTTGCAATGTAGGAAGATCTTTATTATCCCCATTCACCACTACAGAATATTGTATGGGCCACTCTCAAGAAAATTGGTGAACCGGTTCTTATGCACTGGCCTGGCAGCAATTTGCGAAAGAAAGCTCTGGACATTGTCATGAAACATATAAAGTATGAGGATGAAACAACTCAATATATATGCATTGCTCCTCTCAATAAGGTAAAGAGATGTTACTTTGAGTAAGCTTTGCATCATTGTTTTTTTATAGCTCCAAACTACAACTTATCATTATATTTGTGTTGAGTTTAGTAAATTTGTACATTGCTTATCAACTATATTTGTTTCTTTTTATTATTTTCTCTAACAACAACTAATTAGTTTAAATTTACAAATAGATGTTGAATATGATTTGTTGCTGGGTAGAAGATCCAAAGTCAGAGGCATTCAAACTCCATATTGAAAGAGTATATGATTTCTTATGGGTTGCTGAAGACGGCATGAAGATGAAGGTGTCAACGAGTTCTCCTTCATGTTTATTATATTTTCTTCATTGGGATATTTTTTATTAGCATTATCTGAGGTGGGGGCAATAACAAGACATAGTGATATGGACAATTTGATTTCTTTTGTCTCATTTACCTAATTGGTTCAAATATATAGATATATACGACAACACGTGAATGCCCAGCAAACCTTTTTTATATTAGCAATCAGTCTAACTCACTGATATATTAGTGGTGGATGTGTAGAATCCCACCAAGTTCAAGTCCACTCCACTTGAGTTTTAGTGCTTAATTCTCCTCTATAAAACACAAATAGTTCCACCCATATGTTCAAAAAATCAGTATGATAGTCACTTACTCACTTTGTTTTTTTAATGTATAACGTATTTTGACTCAAGACAGAGATTTAGGTGTCCATCCAATTGAAATACTATGGGAATATAACTCAAGACTATCTCATTGTTGTTTTTGGAAGTCATGGATGGTAGCTAGTATGAGAGCGGGAGAATAAGAACATATATGTTTAGCACAAAATAAGTAGGATCACATCATAAATTGAAACTCACTCATTTAATGGAGTCATCAAAATGTATGTTTTAACAACATGCTTTTAATTGATGTAATGATAATCTGTACTATTAAATTTACTCTAATCTTAGAACATCTTGTGTAGTCTTACAATGGCAGCCAGCTATGGGATACAGCTTTGACAGTTCAGGCTATATTTGCTACCGGCCTCACAAAAGAGTTTGGCCATACAATTAAAGTCGCTCATGACTATATCAAACATTCCCAGGTAAATATACAAAATGTTGCATGGTAATATATTGTCCAACACTAATAAATTAGGTGTAGATACTCAACAATATTATGTGTATCTGATGTGCCTAAAGATTCGTGCGGACTGCCCTGGAGACCAAAGCAAGTGGTATCGCCATCTATCAAAAGGTGGATGGACACACTCAACTGCTGACCAAGGGTGGCCTGTATCAGATTGTACTGCAGAAGCATTTAAGGTAGTCCTCGCCACAGTTTTCACTTTCAGCGTAACTTCATTGAAGTTTCTAAAATTTTAGTAATTGCGGTACATATTGAAATACCTGTCTTTTAGCCAACATATTTCGGTAAATTCATTAGTACAAACAAATTCAAATAATTTCAAATTATAGTTTGAAATTTCAAAATATTTTGGTGGATCACAATCAAACTCAAGTGAAAATAATTTTCAAAATACATTTTGATTTTGGCTACACAGAAATATTCAAAACTTAAATTTAAAACCATGATCCCTGCACATTATGTTTGTATTCTTCAACCAAAACCTTTGTGCAAATACTACCATTTCGGCCCATTTCTTTAAACTTTGGTAGGCTAAATTAGTAGAACGCACAGATTTTCACCATGGCTAACATGCATGCGTGAAAACTAACAAGTCTAAGTGTGCAACACCTTGGCCCAAATTGTGACATCCTACATGCATAAGACCCGTCTTGTATTTCTATTCTTGCTTTTACTAAATGTTTTTTTTGGAATAAAATGGTTAACCCTAAGGTTCTACTCTTGGAACATAAGTTTATATACACAGGACACATTCACTATGTTTCTTAGGGGACGCGAAATCCCCTATGTGGGACTTGTCACACGAAATAGCTATACTTGGGCCACATGGACCTCCGTAGTAAATGGGGCCACATGGTGTTGAGTCTAACACAAATTATCATGGATACTCTTTCCATGGAATTGATTCAATACAAAGGAAAATTTTCCATATTATTTTCTCTGGAACTGATTCAATACAAGGCACCAATTCTAGGAGTGAAACCAACGACACACTGATAGGAATAAGCTAAGATTTCATTATTTCTTCAGGTTTTGTTGTTGTTAACTAAGGTTCCTGAACTGGTTGATGAGCCTATAGAAACAAGCAGACTTGATGATGCAGTCAACATTCTACTATCTTTGATGGTTAGTATCTTCCAGTCTTAATTATCATATTTGTGTTCTCTTTTGCCAAGACTAGTTTCAAGTGATTACTCACAGTTGATAATTAAGAGACTTTCATTTTCTGACTACTTGGATGAACAACTTAAGTTTTAAAAGTCTTATTGCGTAATCTTTTGCAGAATGACGATGGCAGTTTTGGTGCATATGAGCTAACAAGATCTTATGAATGGCTTGAGGTGAGCTACCATATATAATTCCTTTATTCTAACTAAAGACATAAGGAAGAGTTTTCCTCTAGAACGCACGAGGATTAGTACATGCGAGGAAGAAACACTTAGTTTAATCTACCATATTAAGTTGACGTCATTTAGCAATTCTTGGTTCTACCAATCAACCGACTATAAGTTTTCTATACGTACATGTGTCATGCTCACTTTTATTTTTTCAATCACTTCAGTTGTTGAATCCTTCTGAGAGCTTTGGCGGCATAATGATCGAGTATCCGTAAGGGACACTAACCATCAAATGCTTAATTAGTTATTTATGTTGCTAATTTTCTATTAATCTGTCTACCTTCTTCTATTGATTCACATGCAGGTATGTTGAGTGTACATCATCAGTAATTCAGGGTCTGGTGTTATTTAGAGAAATGTACCCCGAACACAGTCGCTTGGAAGAGATAGACAGTTGTATCCAAAAGGCTGCAGACTACATTGAGAGCATCCAATGGAGTGATGGATCATGGTTTGAATTTCTTTAAATTTGCTCTATAAGTTCATGTCTTTTTATTCTTACAAAATGGAAGATTATTTTCACAAAAAAGATTTTGAAATATTAAATTCCCGGCCTCTGCATAATTTGAACATGTGTTGTTAATTTGAACTACAGGTATGGTTGTTGGGCTATCTGTTTCACATATGGTACTTGGTTTGGGGTGAGAGGATTGGTTGCTGCAGGGAGGACGTATGTAAATAGCCTAGCAATCAGAAAAGCGTGTGAATTTCTTTTGTCCAAGGAGCTTCTCCCATCTGGAGGGTGGGGAGAAAGTTACCTTTCCAGTCAAGACAAGGTACATTAACTTTCTTCATTCTAGACCTATTTTGTTTCATGTCTTAATTAATCTAATTAGCCATGTCCTAATTAACTAACTTGTAACATATATAGGTTTACACCAATCTTGAAGGAAACAGGGCTCATGCAGTTAACACTAGTTGGGCCATGTTGGCCCTAATTGATGCCGGGCAGGTCAATTTTTATCCTTCTTGTCAATCTTACATCCATGTCCTTTATTGTTTACTATTTAGATCACTTGTTAAGTTGTAAATTGTACACAATGTTATAGACAAATCATGTATTAGTTCATAAGTACAATGGACATATATCATTATGAATTGAATTAGTTGTATGCTGACTATAGTACAATATGATTTTTGAGTGAACAGGGTCAAAGAGATCCTGCATGTCTACATAGAGCAGCCAAGATTCTGATGAACTTCCAATCAGAGGATGGAGAGTTCCCTCAGCAAGTAAGTAATATGTCCTTATCCCTTCTCTTAGTTTATGTGCAACGAAATCATGGGTTTTCCTCGTAAGGGCAAGTAATAGTACGATGATGTATATGCAGAAAAAATAATCAACCTTCACAAAATTCAATGAAAAGATTGCAACTTAAAAATATCCAAGTTAATTAGGTGATCTCCTAGTAGTATGTTGCGATTAACTTGGTATGTTTGCTCAATTGACAGGACATTATTGGAGCTACCAACCACAACCTTATGCTCACTTATGCCCAGTTCAGGAACATATTCCCTATCTGGGCTCTTGGAGAGTACTATCGGAGAGTGCTTCTGGTAGCTTAAAGGAAACCATCGTTATGTATATATAGTGGTTGGGAATTACATACTTCTTTGTGCTCTCCATCTCAGCTAGAGATGGGCATAGATATATTGTAGTGAATGGTGTTTTTTTACTTGTATCTAGTGCTATTGGTTTTAGGAGCATGAACCTTCTTTCGAGAAGAGTTTTAGTGTTACTGACCATACATGTGCTACCATATTCACTACCAGTATGAGCTATGTGATCAAAATGAATGTACATGATCACATTAATCACAACCATTTAGAACATTCGTATATGGACCCTCAATATGTAAATTTTATCAACATCAATACAAGCCTCTTCCCCGTCCCCATTTCTAGCGACTAGGGTGGTAGGTCCTCGGTGGACCAAAGAAAACAATGTGTGTGTGGGGGGGGTGGGGAGGCGGCGGTCTCTTTGAAGATTCCAAAAAATGAACATTTTTTCTTTGAGACATAAAAGGTTTGTGAATTTTGAGTGGGGGTATAGCTTGCGAATGAACATTGTTTCGGACAACCCTTGAGCCTTCGATCCCATTGTTAAGATTTGTTAGAACTTTATGATTGGTTGCAACTCCAACTGATTACCATGCTCTGCGTGTGGCGCCATTTTTTGCTTTTGCTGCTAAGGATCCCACTCCTCGACGTTTTTTACCTGCTGCCAGGAAAACTGAAAGATTTAGCAGAAACCAGCAAATACAACACTCAGAGGGAAGATACTGTAATAACTGAATCGTTCGGAATAAATATAACAAGTTTGTTGATATGTGGATGATGGTATCATGTATTCCCTCAGTAAATAAATATAAGAGTGTTTAGATCACTAAAGTAGTGATCTAAACGCTCTTATATTTCTTTACAAAGGGAGTATTTTTTTATTAAATCTTATATCGACGATGGAGATTAGAACTTACCCCTTTGTGAGAAAGGGTAATTTGGTACATGAAAAAAATCCTAATTATGTTTGATCAATGTGGTTCATCTCTTCTAACTGCCGGCTCATCAGGCATGGAGGCTGCTTACAAATCCAAGTTCTCTATGTGCCATTTTGAGTGGGGGTATAGCTTGCGAATGAACATTGTTTCGGACAACCCTTGAGCCTTCGATCCCATTGTTAAGATTTGTTAGAACTTTATGATTGGTTGCAACTCCAACTGATTACCATGCTCTGCGTGTGGCGCCATTTTTTGCTTTTGCTGCTAAGGATCCCACTCCTCGACGTTTTTTACCTGCTGCCAGGAAAACTGAAAGATTTAGCAGAAACCAGCAAATACAACACTCAGAGGGAAGATACTGTAATAACTGAATCGTTCGGAATAAATATAACAAGTTTGTTGATATGTGGATGATGGTATCATGTATTCCCTCAGTAAAGAAATATAAGAGCGTTTAGATCACTAAAAGTAGTGATCTAAACGCTCTTATATTTCTTTATAGAGGGAGTATTTTTTTATTAAATCTTATATCGACGATGGAGATTAGAACTTACCCCTTTGTGAGAAAGGGTAATTTGGTACATGAAAAAAATCCTAATTACGTTTCATCAATGTGGTTCATCTCTTCTAACTGCCGGCTCATCAGGCATGGAGGCTGCTTACAAATCCAAGTTCTCTATGTGCCATTTTGAGTGGGGGTATAGCTTGCGAATGAACATTGTTTCGGACAACCCTTGAGCCTTCGATCCCATTGTTAAGATTTGTTAGAACTTTATGATTGGTTGCAACTCCAACTGATTACCATGCTCTGCGTGTGGCGCCATTTTTTGCTTTTGCTGCTAAGGATCCCACTCCTCGACGTTTTTTACCTGCTGCCAGGAAAACTGAAAGATTTAGCAGAAACCAGCAAATACAACACTCAGAGGGAAGATACTGTAATAACAGAATCGTTGGGAATAAATATAACAAGTTTGTTGATATGTGGATGATGGTATCATGTATTCCCTCAGTAAAGAAATATAAGAGTGTTTAGATCACTAAAGTAGTGATCTAAACGCTCTTATATTTCTTTACAGAGGGAGTATTTTTTTATTAAATCTTATATCGACGATGGAGATTAGAACTTACCCCTTTGTGAGAAAGGGTAATTTGGTACATGAAAAAAAATCCTAATTACGTTTGATCAATGTGGTTCATCTCTTCTAACTGCCGGCTCATCAGGCATGGAGGCTGCTTACAAATCCGAGTTCTCTATGTGCCGAAGTAACCAAGGCTAGGTACTATCCGGATACAGAGGTAATTCAAACAGAGGAAAAGAATGGAATATCATATGCATGGCGAAGTATTCTCAAAGGCATTGAAATTTTGAAACAAGGATTGATCAGGAGGATAGGAAATGGCAGTGACACAACCATTTGGTCAGACCCGTGGCTCCCGCTGGGCGGATGCATGAGGCCGATCACACCTAGGGGCCAAACAATCATCCACAAAGTAGGCGAGTTGATTGATCCAAGTATGGGCCAGTGGGACGAAAGACTGATCAAAGATATTTTCTAGCCTATGGATGCCCAGTTTATCCTAGCTATACCTTTGCATGATGACTTTGAGGATGAGTGGGCATGGCATTATGACAGTAAGGGGAATTTCAGTGTCAAATCTGTATACATAATGCAATGTGAACAGCAGAAGATTACTAATAGCAGACCTGAGGGAGAAGTTTAGAGTTGTAGCAGCTTCCGGTGGCAAAGGATTTGGCGAGTTGGGTGCCCGCCGAAAATAGAACACTTCTTGTGGCGGCTTGCATACAACAGTCCGCCACATGGATGGAGCATTCAACGGCATGGTATTGATGCTGACACTCTTTGCCCGATGTGTGGGCGGTTCAAAAAGGATGGAGCACACACTTTTCTGAAATGTAAAATGGTACGAGCAGTGTGGAGGCAAATGAACCTAGAAGAGACGCGATTAACCCTTACCAAGTATTTTGATGCAGAGGATATGGTTAATGCAGTTCTGGAACTTAACGAGGAGAAGAGAATCCAATGTGTAGCACTATTGTGGGTCTGGTGGAATGTGCAAAATAAGGTGAACACCCAAGAACCAAGAAGGTCTGCTGATGCGCGCGGGCATCCATATGATCCACTGGCTAATACAGGACTGTGAAATGCTAAAGAAAAAAGAGGGCAACAAACCAGCGAAACCCGTGTCAAGTTGGAAGGCGTCGGAGAATGATATGATCATGATCAACATTGATGGCAGTGCAGCAGCAGACAGGTCACACGAAGGCTGGGGTTTCGTTGCTCGAGACTCGACAGGTACTGCTCTTGCATCAAGGGCTAGCCACCTTCCTTATGTTAATGACCCACTAGCTGTTGAAGCCATGTCGTGTCTCAGAAGCTTATATGCAGTTCAACAGTTGGTGATGAATTCCATTATTCAAGTGGGAACAGACCCTGTGTTGCTAATGCAAGCTATCCAAGGGAAGGAACACGATCTTTATGCCAATGGTGTCACTTTCCGGGACATCAAGTGCTTTGCTAGTTTAAAATTCTCTCGCTTTAGCATCTCATTTTGCCCAAGGGCTTGTAATAAAGTAGCAGACAATCTGGCACCAGACTAGGACTCGAATCCTCAGCTATATGGTCGGATGGGGTCCTGGACTTTGTTCGTGGTTTGGTTACCAGCGATCTTGTTGGTGTTTCTGGTTCATGGAATAGAGAGGTATTCCGGCTCAAAAAAAACGCATGCTCATCGTTGTTAACGTCCAGAAAAGAAAATTGCTCATTGTTGTTGATGTGGTCCACGATGGACGTGGCTGCCACCTTCTCGGGATTAGGCACGGTCTTTCACGACGACTAGATCATTAAAGGCACGCGTTGCTGCGCCCGTCCATTTTGACGATATATGGACCGGAAGTTTTCCAAATATATAGAAAATTGATTGCTAAGTTGGGAGATAATTCTATTTTTGTTGAAGCCGGATTTTTACGGCATGCTTATGAGATAGCATATGTCGACAGGAACAAAGTAAAAAAAGCCAAATTTACATTCTCATAAATGAACTATAGTGTGAGAGATGATTATCTCATATCAAGCTCCTGTTCTGACATTTCCACACTATCAGCATTTTTGCACATACATAGGCAGGCACAGATAAAAATGTTAATCTAGCGAACATCTATCAATTTGCCAGCATATGATTAGACATATAGAGCAAGAAGATTGAAAAGCTTTCATCAACACGTACATCACATGGATTTTGCAACCACCCATAGCACTACTTCCGTGACCTGTGATTGTACCTTCAAAACATGTCTACAGAGTCTGTGGATCTTTTGTTCCTTCCTTATTTGTGCTTGTCTTCCTTCCATATGTGTGTTTGTCACTTGAAAATGTGGCTTTCCAATATTGCTCTTTGAGCAAGTATTGCTACACCATCTAAGTGCTACTTGTGACATGTTGTTGACTAAGTTGAAATTACCATTGTTATTTCAGAAATAGGGAAATCAACAAGACTACGTAAACTCTAGCCTGCCTTACATCAGCAAACTTCTGAATAGAATGGGGATGACGATTTGACCACATATTTTGCAATAGACAATCTTAAAGACAGAGAGGAAATTTAGTATTTACATATTTGCAAATTTCCAGCACCACATCTAACAACACATCGCCGAGAATTGCATTACAATTTACTATCATACGCATAACCTGGAAATGACTCAAATTAGCATACTACACACATTCAGTTGTTCGGTCAATTCTTGTGTACACTGATTTATTGCTTATTACCAAAATTTCAGTCTTACACCAGTGGGGCCAAGGAATATATGAAAACATAAATAATGGTCAAAATTAGGGTAGCTGCTGAAGCTTATGGTAAAATATTTACCATGACTCCATGAGTAGACTTAACTACCACACAGGGTCATCACATACAATAAGTATCTTTCAGTATTTAATTCATGATAAAAGACAATTAGAATTTTATGTTTGTTCGGAGCAGGTTGGAAGATCACCAAAATGAGCTGCTGAAGCTTATGGTAAAATATTTACCATGACTCCATGA